GCGAAACTTTGTGATTTTTGGCAATACATGGATACCGGGTTTGTGCAATTCTTTGACCTTGTTATTTTGGCTTGCGTAGCAGCAATTTTTGCTCCAAAAATTGCCGCTACACAAAACCAAACAAACAATAAAATAACATAAAAAAGGAAAAGCCTGTTATGCATTTAAGCACTACACAAAGCAAATATCCACTTACCTTATTTAGAAATTCCTCAACAACATCCCAAAACTTCCTAAAATTATCTGAACTAGAATCCATATATCGGCGTTGCCACATAAATTCATGAAAATAAGAGTAAAAAATATCCTACGTATTCCAGACTGTCTGGAAAATGGTTACTAAGTATACCTTCATTTACACACCAGTCAAATAATTCACTTTTCCTGTTTCATTCCAAATCATACAGAAACTTTAAATTAATCTTATTACATTCAGCCATTCTGCCATCTAAACAATGAAACATGCAATGTACTTCCTAACCACACACACCACAAAAACTCTTTCAAAACATCCCATGACTCAAAATTTCCCGGAATAATGCAAACGATTACATCGTAATAGAGTTTCCATTGAACTACTCTGGTTAGGATAAATGAAACAACAACTTGGCGATAATACAAGGGATACCCTAAAGTCAACTCTAATCCAGTTTTGTTTTGTAAAGCTAATAGCAGCTGCTTTGATCAGCACCTTTCAGTTCACGAGTTTCTCTTAGGATTTGGAGTACTTTTTGAGATTCAATTTTAATGTTGACATGTCATTGCTTTCTTCTGTAGAACTTTCACTGATACCATTTGTAATTTTTTTAATACTTTCTCTAATACGATGATCAGTTTTTGTATGCATTATCTCGGTATTATTGTCAATCAACACATATTCCAAAAGTGAATCTATCACCAAGTCAGGTCTGAAACATTAGCTATTGCTTATAATTTCTCCAAAGCTTTTTCTGTATAAAAACGCTGTGTTTAAACCCCTGACCACAAAGGGTTTTGTTAAAAAAGTTAAAATTTCCCAAAACTGCCATTAGAAAGAGAAATTTTCTTGATTTTAATGCAAAAGTCTCTGGTATTTGAACTTATATATTTTTATTACATTGCCATAATTTCTTGGATATATTTCAAAATTCACGAATATGTGTTTTGTTAAGGATGTCACAAAAATATTCTGGGCTGTATTTGCCAGTCAGAGGGTTAAGAAATTGACCTTTTGCATTGACTTATATACATAGCCCTCTATGAATTATTGACTTGTCTAGCTCCATCATTGTGCTTGTGTTTGCAGAAGATCCAATTTTATTTATCATTTTCTGAATATCAAAAGCTTTTATAACATTACCTTGGTTTGAAGGTTGAATGTTAGAAGTTGCATTTGCAGGAAGAGACACTATTGGTTTTCAGAAAAAGATCAGAGGTGTGTGCTGCACAGTTATCTAATTAGTAAAACTTTCTGCCCCCCTCCCATTTTTCAATTTACTGCCTCGTTTAAAAAGAAAACCAGTAAAAATATTACTTGTCAACCATGAACTCTTGTTATTATGGTAAGTTAGAGGTAAATTCTTTTCTTCTTGACATTGAGGTTTTCTGCTTTTGTCAATAACGAGTGCTGTTTTGTGTCAGTACTGTACTCATATCACAGTAACTTGGTCCTTCAGTTTTTTAAACCAGCTGCTATTTTTCTTTTAATTATTAATTTGTGTTTTAATGGTAGTAATGCAGTTCAGTTTCACCCATATTGTAAATTTCATATGGCTTGTATTCATTTAGCAGCCCAGGTAAAACATCTTTTATCCAGTAATCAACTGGATGATGGTCTGCCTCTTCCTTCTCATCTTGTTGTTTCCAATGACCTTATGTCTTTTCAAATTGTGAGCATCTGTCAATTGATAAAAACTTTGCTTCTGGAATTTTAGTGAATTCCAGAGCTTTTACTGTAAAAAGAGCTCTTGAAATATGGTCAGATTTAGTAACATAGCTTAAAATGTTTCTATAAGAGCAGCTTCAACCCCTTTTGCATCTTTTTTTTTTTTTTTTTTTCTTCCTTTAGACATTTGCATTTTTTATTAGGTCCTTATCAATTGTAATTCTTTGTTTAAGTAAACTGATGAATACTGTTTGGGAAATTCTCAATTAAATGTAATTTTTCTCTGGCTGCACTTAAGATTTTTTTAACATATTATCCTTCTTTTCCTTACTCAAGTCTTTTTGTTTAGGTATTTTTGACATGCTGCAAACAGCAGATTTAGCAAAAATGTTTCTTCCAGTGATTTATTCAATTTCAAAACTCGCATTTCTAGCCACCAGAAAGATTACACTTCATCTGTTTATTCAATCTGCCAACGTCATAATTATAGGCATGATCAATGCTTTTTTTGCTTTCTCTTCAGCCTACAATTACTGCTTCCTTTCTATTCATAGACTGATAATGTATATGATGTGAAGAACCATTTCATGAACTTTCTTGAGAACTCTCTTTGAACATAAATGTCTGTTCCAAAGGAAAGATTTTGAATGTGGAAACTTTAAAAGATTGGAGGCAGAAATTGCACTTCCACATCCTATTAGCTAGTATTCAAGAATAAACGCTCGCTCATTTACAGTGTATTTAAGGATTGTTTTCGTTATCATCTAAAATGAGGAAATTATGCCTTTTTGAGGTTCAGTGCAAATAAAGAGCAATGAAAACAATGTCTTGCAGGTACACATCTGGGGGAGTGGATGGAATAAGAAAATTTTGGCCAAAGCTGAAGCACTGCATACTTGAATGATAAATAAGGCATGGTCCACAATACGTTAAATGTATTAACTATAAATAGCTATGATAAGTACAAGTAGAATGTTCTGACAATGAAGAATTGGGCTTTTGCCAATCTGAACTTTTTAAGAGGCAGAGATGTATTTAATAAACCAACCAATCAGTTTAATAAGCAGTGGGTACTGTATGCCCCATACTTAGAAATAGTAGATTGTTTCTACTTCTTTGCTCAGGAAATCTGGTTAATGTGTGGTATAAAAAACGGTGAAACTGAATGTGAGACAAAGAAACATTGTTCCAAGTACGTTTTGCAAGAAAACTATTAATAAAAAATTGATGTATTGTTAGATGTATGTTTGGTATAGTTTGAAGTTGACATTGAAATTTAAAAAAAAAAGGTAGCATTAAATAAAAAAGAAAAGATAAAATTACATCTTTCAAGATGAATCTGTAACAGTTTTTAGGGTACTACAACATTTGCAGGAAAGCTAAATCACTAGTAGTATTAATGACAGTGTATCAACCGGTGCTAGCCAATACCCAAATTAAAATTAATAAAAGTAAGTTTTTCATCAGTCATTTTCATGTATGTTTGTAATTTAGGATTAATCTTAATAAACAAATGCTTATATGTGTGTGTATAGCTAAAAAAGAAGAATTTTCTTTTTCCTTGTAAAGGTGCAGAAATTCAGAAATACTTTTATTCAAATGTAATTTATAAAAATCTATAGGTTCAGTATGGTTATATTTTGAATTTTTTTTTCTTTTTTTGTCAGATACGTTTTAGCTTTTCAGGAATTCTGTATAAAAACTAGTAAATTTCCTCACATGTCATTGTGATAAAGACAGGTTAGGATTCTATTTTCTGATTTTTGTTGTACGTTTTTAAAACATCAAAAGAACATTGACATAAAATCTTCTTTAAGAAAACATTTCAAAATTCCTTTTTGTAAAAGCTATTTAATTCGAGTGCTTCACTAATTTATTTCATTTTTTTTTTTTTTCTAATTTTTGTAAAAGCTATTTAATTCAGCTATTTGTATTATTTTTTAGTATTATTTTTGTAAAAGCTATTTAATTAATTATAATTAATTTTATTCTAATTTTGTAAAAGCTATTTAATTCAGTGCTTCACTAATTTAATTCTATTTAATTCGAGTGCTTTTAACACTTCACAGAACAATTCCTTTGCATTTTCATTTTGAAGTTATGTAAGCAGTTAATTTTTCAGTAAAATTTGAAATGTATTATATATTTAAATTATATGTAATAAATAATTTTCTGTAAAGTGAAATTCAGAAAATTTGTAAGTTGCATGATTAAAATAAAATTTCATTGAAATTATGAAATGTGATGCATTTCTGAACTGTGTAACAAAAAATAGGATTCAAGCATTAAGTATTATTCTTTATATTAGTAAGATATTACTGCATTAATCTATGAGCTTAAGATATTACTGCATTAATCTATGAGCCACTAAAATTGATCATTCATAAGGTATTCTGCACCTTGATCAAAATTTGTGTTGCGTTTAAATATTAAATAGTCTGATTATAGTATGATTTATAGCTCAGTATGATTATTTATATATAGATATGAATTTTCTGTGTATAAAGTAGCATGTTTTATAAACTGTGTAACATCATCATCATGTGTACAAAATCCTGTTCTCCATTATCTTTAACTTTTTTTCTACCTGTATCTGTTTTTGCTCTCATTATAGTTTATATTTCTAAATATCCAGTTGAAAAAAAAATTCTCATATGCTTTTTCAACTTGTATATATTTTCCAATTTTGCAGCATAATTTTTTTATCACCTTGCTTTAAATTTATTTTCAGTTTTTTTTTTTTTTTTTACTTTGAATTCCTTTATTCCTAAAAACTGTAAATGAAAATATATTTTATTCATCTTTTATTCAAACTCTAAAATCCCTTTAAAGTATACCATATAAGAAACAGAAGTTAGAAAATACCTGAGCTATAAAAGTGTTAGTTTGTGGCAGGGTGTCTAACAAAAGATTGTTGCATAGAAAGATTTAAAATTTTATTCAAAGAATTTTTAACTTGAGTATTATAATTTGGTACTCATTTACCTGTAAGTAACTTAATTATGTTAAATGTTATTTAACAGTTCTAAGCTCCAGCTCTAACATTGGCATTTGAATAAAATTTTAAGTTAAAATATTTTGCAACCATCTTTAATAAGGCACTCTGTATTTTGACTGAGTGTTATTTATTGTGCAGCAAGTCATGGATTTTGCTCCCATGGTGCCTGTGCAGGTTGGAGAACGAATTCGTGTGATCCTGGACTGTGAGGACAATACTCTTGCCTTTGAAAGAAACTATGAATTTCTGGGAGTAGCATTCCGTGGCCTGCCAGATAAGAAATTATATCCAGCAATATCTGCAGTCTATGGGAATACTGAAGTATCTATGGTTTACCTTGGACATCCTCTGGATGGTTGACAAAACTGCACTTAGTTGTGTTCTCTTCATAGGTATAACCAAATTAAAGGTAAGGTTTCAGCTTTATGCAAGTGATTTTGTTTAGCATGCCCTAAGTAACTTCTAAGCTAACTGACGAAATTTTTAGGTATATTTTAAAACATTCTTTGCAAGGTGTCATAGTTGTTCTGCATTTAGGAAATTTCATACTTTTGTATTTAAAACTACATGAAAGGAAAGCTATCCAAGTACTATTTCCGACTTTTCTTTACATGCATTACATGAACAATTTAGTGGCATTTTGCATTCATTACACAAGACTCATCAAAATGATATCATTTTTGCTATGTTTGATGCAAAATCTTGCCTTGCTTTCTACACAGTTGTAATTTTTTTTTAAATTAAATTGAATTTTAGGCAAATGTAGGATGTCCCAAAAAATGTATACAGTACAATGTCTTTAAAGGGCTTCGGCGATTCCAGATTAGGGTTTTTTCCGGATTATAGATCATCAATTTAAATCTGGTAAGATAGCATGCAAAAATTATAAAATTAAAAATATGAAACCGTAATTTATGAAATAAAGAGCAATTATGATCTAAAGGGTATTAAAATTTACAAAAAAAAAAGCTTAATATTTATTTGTTTACTTTATTAAACATTTCTTTCAATGTAAGTTGTTTAAGTTGCTTTGTTTTTTGTGCTAATACTTTCTCTTTAATTCTATAAACTTACATAATTTCTTGTCCTGTAATTGCTGTGTCGAGAATACCGACTAACTTGTCAATTGAAATTTTTTCGTTTTCAATAACCTCTCTGTCACTTTCTTCACTATCAGAAGGGGTACATTGAAACATGCTTTCGCTTTGTAGATCCTTTGGCAGCTCCAGAATCGGAAACTCTTTTTGACATAATTGAAAGTTCAAGCTTACTTTTTATAAAATTGTTCTAACAGTCTGCAGAAAATAATAAGCCGGATCCAATTAGAAGATTAAGTAACAATGCAATCTGCAGCATTAACTAAAATAGATAATTTTAGCCTAGCTTATACCGTCCGTTATACATTAAACGCGCATGCGTAAACACATTATGCATTTACACATGCGCAAAAAGTTTGTAGCTTTGAGGTCTGGATTATAGATCATTCCGGATTATGGACATAAGAATTAAAGACTTTATATACTTATAACAGTTGATAAAGTCATATGTTTTACGCTCCTTCCATATTTAATTAGTTTTAAATGATGGGTTGAATTTTTTTAAACAAAGAAAATTTTACCCAAAATGAACTTAAAGTACATAGAGAGTTTTAAATAGATTCAGCTATGTGGCTCACTACTACTCAAATAAGATAAGTTTGAAGCAGATTGAACTGGTTTGTTGACAAAAATGTTCTGGTAAATTGTAGACATCAGTCAACCCACAAGAAAGGAAAAGTTGATAAAACTGTATCATCAGAATTGAAAATTTTTATGGCTGGATCTTGAGATTGGAATATCTCAGAATCACATGTCAACCTTATTTTATAATTCTATCACTAGAAAAGTTGCATTCCTAGACTAATATATTCTCGGTGAAGATATTTGTGCGGAAGAATGCATTTTGCAAGTCATACTTGACAAGATGTATAAAGCATGCACTGTTTCCTAGAAAAGCTATATTTAAAATTATATTATATTGAAATAATGAGGCTATATGTAAAAACAGGCATTGTTATTGGAAAGTTATTCATTTTTTTAAAATTTCCATAGTAAATCTTATATTAATAAATACTAACCTTATATTGATAGTCCTTAATTAATAAATGTTCTTATCTTTTATTTTAATTTTAAACTATAATTAATATAAAACTATAATTATAACATGATCAAATTCGTATGAATTGTATTTCACCATTATTCGATTATTTCATCAAAGAAAGAAGTGTGTTTCATTATCGCCAAATGTGCAACCAAACTAAGGAAATCTAGTATTAGGGGATTTTAAGAGTAGTTTCTTGAGCAGGGTGGAGTTTCATTTCTTTAAGTGGGCGGTGAATTTTCGGCTAAAAATCCACTATTTTCCTTTTTGGCTCAACTGCCACTGCTAAAAACGGACATCACTAGAAATTCTGCTTGCTGGACTATTAACATTAACGAAATGTGCCTGCATTTTAAAATGTATAATTGTTTTTTGTAATCATTCAGACAAAGGTAAAATTTTCATACATACCCAATGAAATATAATATTTTTAAAAGTTATATATGGAGAAAATTTATGTATATTTTATGTATCGGTTTAAAAAAGACTTCATTAAATATAGTTAAATTTCCAGGGTGATTAGTCACGGATTCCACAAAACCTTGTCTTTTTTTAGGGTGGTCGTCATAGAGAACATATCTATCTTTAATTATCATTGCTGTTAGTTCATTATTCTTAATAGAAATTCTATCACTTTCTGAGTTGGGTATTTTAGACAGATAATCACTTCAAGAGATTTTGATGTATTTAAAAGCTCAGTTTGTAATTATTTGCAAATTCCATTTTCATATTAAGGCTAATAATTCTCTGATGTAAAAAATATAGAATTTAAAAGTTTAATAAGTAAATTATAATATTAAATAAAATTAAATTTAAAAATTGTCACTTTTAATTTTTTTGTGTATTCTATATGAATAGTATTAAATGTTCTTAAACAAAATGATTTTAACCCAAAAAAATAAATAAATATTGGGGAGTAATTTTTTTAAGCAAATTTAACAATTAAAAGATTTTTCATCTTCAATTTTCAATGCTTCTACCCTAGAAATTTTCATTATGTTTATTAAAATAAGGGGTATTTTTGTAATGAAATAATTAGTTTTTTTAGGGGAGGAATAAAAAGCACATATATACATGTATACATAAATAAATGACTGATAAAACATTGGGGGGAAACATACTTTCATTTATATTTACATTATAAAGTTTGACTTGTTTTAGTAGCATAAAATAAGTCCAAACTTGTAACAGACTTGGAATGAATTATTGCTTCATCTGTGCAGAAGTACGAAGTCTTACAAAGTCTTTTTATCAAATCAGAACTGGATCATAAGTACATGATTTCTGATTACAAATCAGCAAACCATTCATGGTTATGTAACTTAAAGTAACAGTAAATTCAAATGTAAAGTTAGTAGCCAAGCGTTACACAAATTATTTAATGCAAAATTGACTCTGTCTTATTGACATAACTATTTAAAGATACATCAACATTTGCAGCCATGTGGACTACCAACACGATGACCATTATTTCGGCTTCCCTTGACAGTGCAGCATAGAGAGAGACGGTGACTCTAGTGTGCCGAACGACAAAGCTGGATACAGGAGTTGCACAACATCGTCTTTTCAGATGAGTCCTGGTTCTTCGTGCAGTATTCTGACAGCCATATACGTGTCTGGAGGCTCCGAGAAGACCACACGTCGCCTGTTTGCATTCAGTATCAGCATAGGAGCCCTGCACCTGGTGTAATGAGGTGCATGACAAACACATCCCTAGTTTGGGTTGAGGGTACATTTCTGACATCTTTCGTCCAGTAGTTGTGCCTTATCTTAAAGCCCTGCCAAATGCCATCTTCCAACAAGATAATGCAAGACCACATATTGCATGTCGTGTTCTGACCTTCTTCGATACTCAGGGTATTTGATTACTGCCCCCTGGCCTACATGGTCTCCAGCTCTGTCACCCATTGAAAACATCTGATCATGGGTTTCTGAAAGACTAGCCTGCCACCCCTCTCCATCTAATACGGTTGATGAAGCATAGCATAGACTTGAAGCAGCTTGAAATCAGTTGCCGGTTTCTGTCATCATAGCCCAGTTTGACTCCATGCCTAACCATGTAAAGGCCATTTTAGATGCCAAGTGTGGCAGCTGTTTCTACTAATTTTGCACCCGTATAAACTGCCAAACTGGTTACAAATTTAATCATTTTATCTTCATGCCATACTGTTTTGTGTGCAATAAATATCTTTTTTGTATTTGCTTTTCTTCATGGTGTTGCAATTTTAATGGCTAGCTGTGTAATTATAGTTGTAGCTAATTATGTTCTTCTTTTATAATGATTTCTAATAAATAAATGTGGCAGTTAAGAAGTAAAAGAAAATACACATTATTTGGCATTTAAAATTCTGTCAAAATGTTCCAAACTTTTTTTATGGTATTTTTTGCTGTCAGATCATTTCAAAATTTGTTCTCATTATAACAAAGGTATTAAAGCTATTAAAGCCTATTTTAGCAAAAAGTTGGAAAGTTGGCATTTTTTCCCCTTCTTTTTTTAGGGGTTGGGGTAGGATAAATCTTTTGAGAAATAGTAAATGAATAAGCTTTGATATTGTCAGTTCTTAATTATTAAACTTAATTATGAACTGGCATTTTTTGGTGTGGGGTATGTGTATGATATTTTTAAAGGTAAAATTGGTCACTTGATAAGCAAAATTATCATTTTACTGATCCAAATTTGAAGAAAAAAAATAACTTGGCATTTTGCCATTTGGGTTAGTTTAAGAAAGTCCTTTTGGCTTTCAGCTAGTTTTATTTTATATGCATAAATTGTTAATATGATAATCTCATGTAATTTTTTTTTTTTTTGCGACATCATTAAAGAAAAAAGTACTTTTTTCGGGGGGGGGGGGTTACTGCGAATATATATATATATATATATTTAATTGAAACGCTTGTAACTAAGCTTTCCACTTTTAAAAAAGTTTGAAACAAATTCAAAGTATGAATGAAAGAAATCAAAACCCATTTTTTCTTTGACCATTGAAGCATCTGGAGTGATTTATCATCATACAGATAAACCAGTAAAGTAGTTTTTGTCATCTTTGTCTTAAAATTTCATTTCCAGATGCAGCATTTGCAAGATTATTCTGTCTTATATTCTCAGTTGAAATAAAAGAAAGGAACAGAATACACTTGTATCATTTTGAGAATGTTATGAGAATCCGAGAATTGCTACTTTCGGTGAAAGCTGTAAAGATTTTATCGTGTTCTTATAAAATATCTCTTCATCGTATTCTTATTCTATGTTTACAGAAGAAATTCTACTTATTTATTTTTGTAGTACAACAGTGATTGCCTAAATTAAGGATTTCTTGCGATAATTAAAGTATGTTCATTAAGTTGTAGGTTATTTTTTCTATATGTAAATTGAATGTTTTGATGAGAATGATTTGTCTCAAAAGTTTATCATAATGCAAAATGTTTTCTGTATAACGCTATTCAAAAATGTGCATAATAATTTTAAGTTTACTTTTACAGGTTGAATCCATTAATTTGGACTTTTAACTAAGGACTTCTCTCACAGTGCCATGTTTGATACCAAATGCCATTGCTAGTTCACTTCAGAGAAAACTTATGAGGCTGCATGTTCTGCAGTTGCGTATGAATGAGAGTATGTTGTGAAGTTTTCAGGAAAAAAATATTTATTCATCACCAAGAGAAAGTCAAAATATTTAAAACAGTTTTTACACTGAGCATGCTATAACTACACAAAACATATATATTTCTGTTAAATTCTCATTTATTGACAAGCAGCTCTTAAATTGATTAGTTTATTAACTAACTAAGAGAAAAGAAGCCGTAAATGAAATCTATATTGAAACCTACAAATATTTATTTTGTACCTGGTATTTAAATGTAAATTTAATTTTAGAGATCATTATGGGAGGTTGAATCACTTCATTGCTCAAAATCTGATTTTTTTCCCTCATTTGGTGATATGTGATGTCATGTATGTAAATTGTACCATTGATTTATGTTTCATGTATAATTTTATTTGTGGGTATGGGATAAGAGCATCAGCTACAATTTTTCATTTTCATTTTTAGGAATTAATTCTTTTATACTACTATCTCTGCTTAGTGATGTATCAGAATTGGTCATATTGTGTTTAAGTTGGTTTAACTTTGTGAGTAGTGATTTTAGAGGTTTATATCTAAGCATTGCAAATTTAAATTTAGTTTAATTAACATCATTGAAAATAATAAGATATATTGGCCAAATTATGAAATGACCTCATGTATAAGATGACTTTCCATTATTTAAGTAAAAAAAAAAAAAAAAAAAAAAAAAAAAAAAAAAAAAAAAGGTTATTTGCTTATAAGATAGCTTGACATATGTAAATAATAAATATAATATGTTAAAAGTATTCCGTAAGAAAAATAATTAAATGATCTGAATATTAGATCATCAACTGAAACTAAGTAAATATGATTTCTTTTAATATGAAGGTCATTAAAAATATTGAATTACTTCTTTTTCCTGAAATAAAAGCAGCACGGTACATAAGATGAATATTATTTTCAAGGTATGTTAAGGAAGAGAATGTCATTTTATATTTGGCTAATATGATTGTATAACTCTGAATAAAATTAAATGTAACTTAAAAGTATGCTTTGATCTATCTGTATGCAGTTAAAAAATCATTGCAATAATTTTAGAATGTTCCCTAAAATATTGATATATCTGTAAAAATGTATAATTTTAATATATAAGGATTTTAAAATGTAGACGAGGTTGTCAGATATTGTTTTTTTCTGTAACAATTTCATATCCATAAATTTTATAAGAAAATTATATGCATTGCATTTGCTCTGCTTATTTTAATTAACCTTTTCCTGAGGGCTGGGACATATATGTCCCACAAATGTAGTACATTAAATAAGGATGAAAGAAATTCAGTTTACTATGGAGATTTAAAATTTCCTACTTAATGTGAAGTAGGAAATGGCAGGCCCTTTTGATTTTTTTTTTCCTGTTCTTTAGTGATTGAATAGACTAAATGCTTTCAGTACATATAATATTAGTCTTCTAGTTCTCTTGTAAATGTTAAGCAAGCATTAATCTGTATGATCTTTTGTTGCCAGCATCACATCAAATTTGCGAATCTGCAAAATCATCTCTTTCTTCAAAATGCATATGATGTTTTGGTATGTCTTGTATTGTGAGCAAAATGTTGTCAAAAACAGCTTCTTCTTATTAAAAATTCATTTATAGATACATCCCTTTTGTTTCTTTTATCTTCTTCTTTTCCTTTTCGTTTGTCATAGTATGATACTTTGTAAAACGGTTTAGGAAATGCATATCAATGAAAATAGAGCAAGAAATGCAGATTTAAGGTTTTGACATGGTGCTGATAAGTTTTAGTCGTCTTATTCAGATACTTGAAACAAATTTATATGAATTACAAATCTGCATTTTTATTAGATGGTAATAATCTGTTCTGTCAGACTATTTTTTCTCAGTCATCAATTAATTTTATTACTGAATATAATTTTATAAATACATAAGAGACTAAAATAAAATCTTCCATTTAATTTAGGTTATTGTAAATACTAATATATTCTGAGAGTAATTTGAACACTTTTTTTTTTTTTTTTTTTTTTTTTATTGAGAGAAAAATCATTTTAATTGTAATTAACATACAAGTTTTTCAATTTATTTCATTCATTGCAGCTTATTTCTCACATAAAATTTATTGCAAAGTCTTTTTTATATGCAATTTTCATAATTTTTACATCTTATTATTTTAATGGGAACTTTTTAAGGTACCGTACCTCATTGAAACATAACAAAAGAGAGAGAAAGAGCAAAATAGGTCTAGTATTTATCTATGCAAAAAGGAGGTAACAAATTTTATTGTGATAAGTCTGATCTTTTTGGTCTGAGTAATGGATGCGTAAGCATTTAATTCAGAATTTAAATGATAATATTGTAACACTTTCTCTAAATTTTTAAACGATGGGGTTTTTTAATAGGGCTTTGGTAATAATTTTGATGGATATGTATTTGTCTGCTTATGTTCATCTTCAAACATTATATCATAATTTATTGTTGCATGTAAAAACAGATGAAATTTTTTCTTCTTATAGTCAGAGGGACTAATTTTAGTATGGGATAGAAATGTAGTTTCAGTTATCTTGATTCCTTTAAGTCTCCCTCTTAGTGATGTTCTGTTTGCTTTCTTTTAGAAAAGCGGTTTAAACATCTGAAACTTTAAATATATAGTGTATGAGGTTCAAGAATTTATTTTTATAATCTTGATGATTCATCAAAAATGTGTCTGCTACAATATATATATATATATGCAAGATAAAAAATATGAAAGCAAACTTCTAATTTTAATTTGCTGTAACCTCTTTTATTTTTTATTCAGTTTGAGGACTTCATCTCTCGTGTCTTAAAAATAGCGCTATAATTCTAAACTGCGTCGTTCAACTTAATCGGGCAGTCTTACATAACACATGCATATGCCTCTTTACCAATCACCTAATTGTAGACCGAAAACCTAACTCGAACTGAAACTTTTGACTCTTCCTTCTTCCTCTGCATTACTACTGTGACAATTCTCCCTCTGCTCGTTTATGCTTTCATCCTGTTAAGACACTGCAGCAGTCTTTTATGTTCTTTTCTATTGCTATAATATCAAAATTGCAAATTTTCTGAAAATAGGCACGATTGGAGTGCCAAAGTGAATTGTGGCCACAAAATGTGAATTTAATACGGTTCAACTGCTTGTTCTTCGAAATGGATAGATGCTCTAAGCATCAAGTATCTACGCTAAACAACATTGCTACGCATTTACATCTCAGTGTTCTTAAATCCCTGCTTCCAAGTATGTGCTATCATCACATTTTTGACGCTACGTTTTCCTTCATCTGCTAGTGTTTCAACGCTTTTCTGTAAAAAGACTCCTCTGTCTCTATGCTGTTTTCTCCTTGAAAAGGGGAAATATGTAAAATATAACAAAATACAACAGCTGTTTTAAGAATAATAGGCGACCTAAAAAATTAACGTTCTAGGTTTGGTACTTTCCCCTTAAATTCATCTTTTCTCCCAAATTTGAGATTATTCCAAATTACATAATGCTGCTTGAAAAATGGAACTAAAACCCAAAATTAATGAATCAAAGATAAGCTGTTTTTTTTTTTTTTTTTTTTTTTTTTTTGTACAGCTCTCTGGTATAAATAGCTAATAACTGCGTAGCCTTTTTTTCGCCTCTTCGCCTGCATGCTGACAGCTTGTTGCTCAGCCTCTGCTAGCCATTCACTATTAATTAAAATGTAACTGCATATTTAAAATTATGGGATGCATTTAGCACCCCTAGTCTTTTTACAGTTATGTATTAAGAAATTCGTCATTCAAGAATAAATGATGTTTAACAATCAAGCTGGTCATGCTTCAAAAAATTCCATCTGATCATCCATTGCACCATAATGTCCAGTTATCTACTTAGCAGTTTTTTCGGGCATGACCAAATGTGAATTGTTTTCATCTTCTGCCAAAAGTACAATTATTACATATATATTGAAATTAGTAAGTTATAGAATAGGACAGGATATTTTCTCTTGCTATATTGTTGCATGAATGATACAGGTTATAGCAGGAAAAGGCTCTCTAATATGAAATTAAAATAAAGAACGTTAATGATATAGTATGGCTATTGCATAAATGCTAGTAGTATGATTTGCCCCCTCCTTTTTTTAATCAGTACAAAACTGCTTATGTCTCTGTTCGATTAATCACTTACTAGTGCAGGATCTTATCATGTAATATGAGTATTGTGTTATCACTGTGACCAAGTCATTTTATTTTGCTTCAAAAATGATAAGAACCTGATGTTACCTTCACTTTGCAGGTAACATTAACCCGCATCCCTGCAGACTAATTTGAATGTTTGGATAGCTATTTTGGTTTCTTGGGGTATTGCTGTAAATTTCTGTGGTCTGTGGTCATTTGGAGAATTCTTTTTCAAATGTCCCCTTAAAGAAATCATAATTGTAAAGTCTATGAGTGTGCCAGCTATGGGTGATGGCATAACAAAGTGTACAGAATGCTAAGAAATTATGTTGATGCTTTTGCTTTACAGCAGCGCAGAATAGTATTACAAAAGTTCTGATTATTGAAGACGAATGGCAATCTGTGTTCCTTCTGTTTCTAAAATAAAAGCATATAGCTTCATAGTCATTTCCATTGTATATTGTAGAAGTTTTTCTGTTGGATAAGGTGTAAGAACATTAAATCCATTTAAATTGTTATTTTCTTCATGATGGCTGCAAGTGAATTTTACAAAATCATTCTCCAGTACTTTTTTCTTCATTATCTTTGTTTATTTTATCTTGTAAATATGTCTGAAAGTAATGGTAGTCATTAATTCGGAAATGGGATATTTTTATTAAGAGATTGTAGTTTGTGGAAACAAGTGGAATTAACAAAAGCAAAGTCTGCCATAAAAATATATAATTTTTTCCCCTTTTCTGAAAAACTTTGCTAATTGCAACTCTGATATAGATGGTATTGCTGTAAAAGGAATTTGAATGAGCGCTTGCTTCATTTGCAATTTATATCCATGAAAAAATGCCTAATGATATGGCTTGGAGATGTTGACCCTTTAAAAATATCTGCTGTGTAAAATAATGATTTTTCATTGGAAATTTCTCATTGGCATTCCTAGCAGAATTACATTCATCCAAATCTTCGTTCTTTTTCTTTTTTAAGCCAAATAAAATTAAGCTGGCTTGTTAAATTTGCATATTTAAAATTTTTTATTAACCCTTTCTGGCATGCTACCTTTTAAAGTTGGAATTTCAACAAAACAAAAAACAAAAAAAAAAAAATGGTAGGTGTACTAATCAGGCGTAGAGGAGAACACAGATGAAATTTTGTAAAGATAGCATATACTGTTTTAATTCTGTGAATGTGCCTGAATCGGGCTCATTGAATGAATAGAGCTTCAAAAAGAGCACTGAAGTGAGCATTGCTGTAAAGTGTTCTTTCAACAAAAGCAAAATATAAAAAAAGATAAGTGCTCTAGTAAAAAAAAAAAAAAAACAAGGACCTAACTGATAAAATTACCGGTGACATTTAGAAAAACACCCCAACAGTTTCTTAGTTAATAAACAAACCTCCCTCAAAAAAAAAAAAAAAAAAAGAGGAGGAAGGAAAAAAAAACTGAAAGGTTTCAGATTTTAAATTATTTCTAAAGGGGTGTTTATTTAACGTTTTGTGTGTTACCTTTATTTATTAAATATCATGTCCTTTGTACTTAAACCGTCAAATTCAGTTCAACGCCAATGTTGCAAAATAATTTTAAAATGAGCGTATCTTTAGAATTTCCGATACTGAGTTCTGCATGCTGGACATAAAAAGGTCCTCCCATAGAGTGTTGCCATTGTTCGCTTTTAACTCGTTGAGTTTGTTAATCAAAACTTCCTTAAAGTTTTACAAAATATGTGTGTGTGTTTATGGAAAAACCTCGAGGGCTATCTAGGAACCTAAGGGCCCCTTTGGCTCCTATATAAGTACCTTAGGGGCCCTTAGGCCTAACCTCGAGGGCCTAAGGGTAGGGATGCCTTCGTGGAGGACTTTCTAAGGGAAACTGGCTCATATACACGTTACACATGGGGAAAACCACGAAAACGCCCATGCAGCCAGTCCGTTCGCGGGATTCGAACCTCGGACCAAATTACCAGTGTTCAGCGACTTTACCGCTTGGCCACTAGTGGGCTCTTTTACAAAATATGAAATTGATAATAAAACAGATTTCAAATTTGGGCTTTCAGAAGCCCATATTCGCAGCAGGATTACGTCATTCAAAATTGGATGGCTCTAGGTACCGCTGTTTTATCACAATGCGAGAAACATACATACATTTATGCATATTCTTCATTATTTAATTCCTTCAAATATAATACCATGCAATAGTATTCGGTGGCAATGATTTGAAAAGTGATACGTTGTTTTTAGGGTTCCGACGCAAAATCACAAAACGAAATCAATAGTCCTTCAGGGACAAAGCCCCATTTGACCTTTAAAAAAAAAGAAAAAAAAGAAAAGAAAAACAGGAAATGATATACAGAAGTACTTTATATACCTTTCTATTGTGATTGAGCTCGCCAAAGATAATACTGCCGTGAAACAAAAGATGCAGTTGTTGGTCTGGTCGTGGTGTTTTAGTGATCCCACTCTAGGCGCACAGGATGTTCGTCGTTCAGTTTTAG